GGAGCGTTGGTATGCTGTAGACTTTTTAATGGTTAATGTTCTGTTTTAGAGGCCCGTGCTCGTGTGCCTCGTGCGAGCCTGTTTACTGTCGCCGTGTCCTCGCCTCCTTCCGCTCACTAACGTGCGACAGCTGCTCTGATTAGCGTAAATTAGCCTTGGCGTAAATTAGACTGCATGTAATGGCAGTTAAAAATGTAGATTTTAATCTTATAAATGGGCAAAAACCTTCGGAAAAAGCCACTTGATTATATATCACATATAACTTTTTTAAAATAATATAAATTAGTCTAAGGTCTAAAAGGAGCAATTATATTGAATTATTTAAAATTAAACAATTTCAGCGATTTATTCTGTAAAAAAAAATATATATATTACTATTATTATTATTATTATTATTAAAAACCAACCTGAAGAGATAAACTCAAGTGATTAACCAAAGAGCACAGTCACAGATTTTGGTCTGATTAGGTCTAGGTACCCAGAATCGCATTTTTACATCCTAATGGTACAATTAGCCTGATAATCTCTGAAACATTGCAGTTTAACAACAAGGCCTTTATGGACCGTGGCGTTATAACAGCATTTAGTGAGAACTGCATTTTGTGTAATAGTCGCCTCGCTGCACGCTGGGGTGTTTAGCTGTACAACAACGGGGACATTAAGGTAGGAAGCCAAACAGCTGAGTCCTACAAAATCAAGGTAAGATGGAGGTGGAGGTAATAAACAATAATGCTGGAAAACAATTTAAGAGATAAACAGAAAACAGACTGGAAAATAATGATCATTGCGCCGAAATGGAATAATCACATGTAATTGGATTTTTACGGCCTGATAATGCAGTGAGGCTCTTTGTCGCCAACTTAGCCTTTAAGTCCAGATTTAAAGTGTTGCTTTTTTCTGGTCACGTATGATCAATAACCACATCATCATTTACCCAGCAACAGCAAATGTGACAGAGGAGTCCGTTTCACGGATAAAATCTTGTGATCAGATTGAATGTATTTTTCGCTTTTGTACCCAAGTATTAAATTAATCGACAAAAGATACGCTGGCGATATCTCCCCAAAAATCGCGCTGAGGTCAGATCCCGTGTGCCCCAGGTGTCGGTGAATCGGGGGGCTGCTTGTTTATTTATTTATTTGAGCAGTTATTTCCTCTGCACCACGTCCCCCTCCCCGTTTCTAATTAACACTGCACCTGCACGCCGCGATCAGCCCCGCTTGCAGTTCACTCCTGTGAGAACCGGTATAAAAAAAAGACAATATTGTTCTCAGCGAGAAGACAGTGACTCCGGTCCCATTCAGGCAGGGCGGTCTGGCGCACGGCCAGAATCTCCATCGAAACACATCCCCCGACGTGACCGCAGATCTGGGGCCCACCCCCGCCCCCCCCCATCACAGTCTTTTTCCCACCGCCTGAGTGTGTTTGCCGGCCCCCGCTACCCAGCCGTCATCGGCGGGCCCCAGCCCAGATAGCAGCAGGGATCGCTCCCGGTCTGTCATTTTGCCCAGAACTGACGCCTGACAAACACACACGCGTGAGGCTTCCCCCAGCGTGTCCCTTCAAGTTCAGGGCAAGGTCAGTCCCCGGGAGTTTGGCTTTTTTTCTCCTGCCCCTCCCCCCGACCCCTTTCTCTCTTCTTCTCGTTAGTTGAGAGAGCAGGCAGAAGCGACACGGGGAGGATAAACGACACCGCGTTTACCCCGTTTAAAACCACGTTTTAATCGCATTCCGGCCTTTGTTAGACCTTTAATGCTGAGGGCGTTTCTTTACGTCTGTCTGTATTTGGCTACTCATTACCGTTCCCTTCCTGATGCCATGTTGGAGATGCACGCACACGTGTGAGAGCCGGCTTTGTGCCCCGCATCTTTCGGGGGATGTCTGGGCCCGGCAAGTCCAACGTCCTTGAATCAGACTTTGTTCCCTTGAACAGCTGCCGTCCTGCCTGATTCGGAGCAGATGGCAGTCCCAGTGCGCGCGTGCAGACATGTGTGCGGTCCTTGTGATCCGTGTGGGCCGTGGTGAAACGTGCACTATCGGGCTTCCTGATCTGATGCCGGGATTCTCTCCCCTGAATCTGGAGAGATGGCCACAGCACACACAAGAGGGTTTCCTCAGCCAAGCTTTCGGCTTTGTCCTCCCCGCGTGTCGGTCTCCCCATTATAAGCTTGTCCCTCACGTGGCGTTTTATCTATCGTCCATAGGAGTCGTCCTTTCCTGCTGCTCATGGTGCCATTACCTGCGAGTGTGTGCTATTCTCACAGCACAGGAATTACCCAGCTAACAAACACTTCTGTGGGAAACAAAAAAAATTAGCTGCTGTCTTCAGTGGAGGGAGGTGGGAGAGTTGGGGGACGATGATGTGTGCAGAGAGAGCACAGGTCCCGTGAAGCATGCCTGGCGATTTGAGCCATCAGATTTCCAGAGATTTCTCCCTCCTGCACCTCATCACGACAGCGTGTGGGCACAATTAAATTATGAACAAGCTTCGTGGCTTTGGGTTTTCATTACTCCTCATTACTGCCGTTATTGCTTACCTTGTGCAAAGTTAAAATTTAAGCTTAAAGTGAACAAACGAACCACAGAGGGAATCGGTATGGTTGTCAGACTGGCCTGGTGCCCTCGGTTCGTACATTCAACCCTGCCGGATCTGGCTTTCCTTTCGGTGGGGGGGGGGGGCGCTCTCCTCGGGGGTACACAGGAGCCGTAAGGTACTGGGTGACGTTATATGATGCAGGTGCGCCATGGCTTCAGAAAAATTAGTGACCCTTTGTAAAAGAAGCGGCAAACTGCTGAGTAAATATCAGTGTCTTTAAGTGGTTAGAATGCAGCAGTTCCCATAAAAACAGCAGCTTGACTACAGTTAATAAGAACGCCATTTCCTCCACGCTGAGACTTTTTCCCCTGTAAACGCACATGTGTGAGCTTAACACATCCGGAGCCGTTGCTGTTTGATCATCGGATTAAATGACAGAGACGACCCGCAGAGGAAAGTGTGCTGCAACCCCTAAGAGCAGCCGTGGAGTTGCGGGAACGATTTTTACCTTGTCGGGACATTTTTTTGGTCCCCACAAGGATTACCTCAGTTTCATAAAAATCTGAGACTGCAATCAAAGAACTAAAAACACCAAAGTCTGTATTTTGTTTGGTTACTTATGGTTAAAGTTAGGGCTGGATAGGGGTTAAGGTCGTCATAGTCAGGATTAGGGTTATGACCATAGAAATGAAAGGACAGTCCCCACAAAGACACGAATGCCTGGACTGTGTACATATGTGTGCTTGCATATGTGTGCTTGCATATGTGTGTGTATATGTGTGCTTGCATATGTGTGCGTGCATATGTGTGTGCATATGTGTATGTTGCAGGTAAGTGTGTGTATGTGTGGATGAGTGTCTGTTTTTCAGGTGTGTGTGTGTACGTGTGTGTGTGTGTGTGTGTGTGTGTGTGTTTGCGGGTGAGAGTGTGTGTTATTCAAGTGTGTGTGTGTGTGTGTGTGTGTGTATTTTTGTTTGCGGGTGAGTGTGTCTCCCCCTGACCCACTTCATCAAGCACCAATCGCTGCCACATGCGACAGATGACTGATCTTGCCACGACTATTTTCTTCCCTCTTCGCCGACGCTGCGCACACGCCCCCATTTCCCCCCGCAAAGCCGCTTCTTTGCTGAGGGCAGCAAATAAAACATGCCGGCGTGTGTTACGGGGTGTCAGAGCCGAGCCGGAGTGTGTACCAGGGTGTCAGAGCTGAGCTGGAGTGTGTACCAGGGTGTCAGAGGCCGAGCCGGAGTGTGTACCAGGGTGTCAGAGCTGAGCCGGAGTGTGTACCAGGGTGTCAGAGGCCGAGCCGGAGTGTGTACCAGGGTGTCAGAGCTGAGCCGGAGTGTGTACCGGGGTGTCACAGGCCAACCAGGATAGTGTACCGGGGATCTGGAGTGGACCAGGGCTGTTTAACATCCATCTAACTTGCTGCTTCCTCCATAATCAGTGGCTGTCATGGACACAAAAGGGATCCCATGTCGAAAATCAGACCTGGCACTTTTTAAACCTCATCTTATTTTTCCGTGTTAAAAGCATTTAGCCTAACATTGAATCTGATTTTTTTTGTAGTTAGAGTTATGTACAGAACCTCCTCGCTTCTCTGGGAAACAGACCTTTTTTATTATTAAAATATATTGCAGTTCACTCAGACAAGCATGTAATATAACGGGTATTATTGCCAAGGTAACAATAATAACAACAATAATAGTAATGAAATTCCTTCTCAGATTTTTTTTTTATGAATTATTCAATTACCAAATTTAACAGTGGGTAATTCTGCACAGAAACATTTTTTATTTACAATCTTCTTTACAAACCATTAAGGAAAATTAAAGTCAGAAGATGCTCCCGATATTCAGCATGAGGAACCCAGTGCAGAAGGTGGATGGAATAAAGTTTCAATCCCGTAATTGACACAGATGTATTTCATTTGGGGTGATTTGCTGTTTAAAATTTCATGTATGTTTGGTTTATTTACAAAGAATGAGCGTTGGGTCTATAATGAGTGAAAATGCATGCTTAATTTAAATGGTGGATATGTCTGCTCACAAATGCATTAGGGACTGAAGAAGCGTAAGACATATTAATTGACAGACAGGAACTGCCGTCTCGGAGGTTGATAGGAGTAATTTATTACTTTAGAAATGAATGCCACCTCCAGAATGTGCTTCATTAATTTCAAATTTAGTTTTAATTTCAAGCTGTTGCCCCTTGAGAAGAATAAGTTGGCAAATTATGTTTGAAGAGAGATTTTTCCCTATTTCTGCAATAAAATATATAAATGGAAAAACTTTCTATTGTTCACCGGGTGGAATAGATAAAAAGGGACAGTTGTTAAAAGGAGTTACATAAACAGTTAGAATTATTTTTTTACTGTGTGTGTGTGTGTCTGTGTGCGCGCATGTGCGGTATATAGAGCATGCACTGAGTTCGCTGTTGGTAATTTGATCCTTGTCTTCCACAGCATATGTTCCCGATGAGTTGAAGGAGGTGGCCATGCTGGACGAGGACCTCGAGGAGGATGACTCTGCTGTGGAGGAAGAGCCCCCAGTCAAATTCTTGTGCTCGGAGAAAGACTTTCTCCCGAAGGACACTGCGCTATACCAGGACTCTCCAATGGCTGACTTCTCCGGCCACGAGATCGATAGCGAGTCCCACCTGAGCGAGTCGAGCGATCGCATGTCCGACTTTGAGAGTGCCTCCGTCAAGAATGAGGAGGAGGTGGTCAAGGAGCCCCCTATGGCGACTGCATCTGCCGCTGCCACCAGCGAGGGCTCCCCCGCTGGCCCAGACAGTCTGGAGCAGATGAAGGCCATCTACACCAGCTTCCTGACTAATTCCTACTGGTCCTCGCTCAACTTGAATCTCGCCCAGCCACCAGCGGAAAACCAGCAGCGTAGCAGCAGCAGTAGCAGCAGCAGCAGCAGCAGTAGCTGTGGCAGCGGGAGCTACGACTGGCATCAGTCGGCTATGGCCAAAACCCTCCAGCAGGTGTCGCACAACCGTCTCCACCAGGAGCCCAGCCTCTTCAGCACTGTGCAGCTCTACCGGCAGAGCACCAAGCTCTACGGCTCCATCTTCACCGGTGCCAGCAAGTTCCGCTGCAAGGACTGCAGCGCTGCCTACGACACCTTAGTGGAGCTGACGGTGCACATGAATGAGACGGGGCACTACCGTGACGACAACCACGAGACAGACAGCAACGGCACCAAGCGCTGGTCCAAGCCGCGCAAACGCTCCCTCCTGGAGATGGAAGGCAAAGAGGATGCCCAGAAGGTACTCAAGTGTATGTACTGTGGACACTCCTTTGAGTCCTTACAGGACCTGAGTGTCCACATGATCAAGACAAAACACTACCAGAAAGTGCCTCTCAAGGAGCCCGTAACCCCTGTGGCAGCCAAAATTATCTCCTCGTCTCGGAAGAGGGCCCCCATCGACTTGGAACTGCCCAGTTCCCCAGATTCATCAGTGGGGACCCCTAAACCAACCCTGACTGACCCAAACGATGCCCTGCAGAAGGTCTCCAACCCCTATAGCACACCTAACAATAGGTACGGACACCAGAATGGTGCCAGCTACACCTGGCAGTTTGAGTCGCGGAAGTCACAGATTCTGAAATGCATGGAGTGTGGCAGTTCCCACAATACCCTGCAGGAGCTGACAGCCCACATGATGGTCACGGGTCACTTCATCAAAGTTACCAACTCTGCTATTAAGAAAGGGAAGTCCAGTATGGAGACCCCTGTCACACCCACGCTGAGTACCCCAACCGAGGAGAAAGTTCAGTCTGTGCCATTGGCTGCCACCGCCTTTTCCCCAACACCCACAGCCCCACCCTCCAGTACCTCCCCCAAGCTCTGCGTCGAGATAAAAAAAGAGGAGAAGGAGGTGGAGTGCTCAAAGGAGATAAGTAGCAGTAAAGACAAGAAGTTTGCAGATGAGGAAGAGGAAAAATTCAACATTGCCTCCAAGTACCACTACCTGACTGAGGAAGACTTAGAGGAGAGTCCAAAAGGGGGACTTGACATTCTGAAGTCACTGGAGAACACAGTGACATCTGCCATCAACAAAGCTCAGAATGGCACCCCAAGCTGGGGAGGTTACCCAAGCATACATGCTGCATACCAGCTGCCCAACATCATGAAGCTCTCCCTGGGCACCTCAGGGAAAAGCTCCCCATTGAAATACATGTTTACAGCTGGAGAGATTCTATCACCAACCAAAAGCCAGCCTCTGGTTTCTCCCCCTATTAGCCAGACATCTCCATTGCCAAAAAACAACTTCCATGCCATGGAGGAACTAGTGAAGAAGGTCACCGAGAAAGTGGCTAAGGTGGAGGAGAAGATGAAGGACTCTGAGAAGAAGGCCTCCCCGCTGAGACGGACTTCACCCTCTCCCTGTAGCAGTGAAGCGGGAGAATCGGTGGCCAGCAATTCTCCCAAAGACCCAAGGGCAAAAACCCCAGAGAACAGCAACAGCGGGAAGGAGGCTACCAGTGGTGGCCTCACCAAAAGCCCGCTGGAGAACGGGGCCGACTCCTTGAGGGTTTCTGCCTCTACTCTTTGTAGCAGCACTGCCATCATCACCGACCACCCTCCTGAGCAGCCCTTTGTCAACCCCTTAAGTGCGCTTCAGTCGGTCATGAACGTCCATCTTGGCAAGGCGGCGAAACCGGCACTGCCAGCCCTGGACCCTATGAGCATGCTCTTCAAAATGAGCAACAGCCTGGCAGAGAAGGCTGCAGTGGCCACACCTCCCGCACAGACCAAAAAAAACGAGCACCTGGACCGCTATTTTTACCACATCAATAATGATCAACCCATCGATCTGACCAAAGGCAAGAGTGACAAAAGCTCCACTTTGGGCTCTGGGCTTCTATCGCCCATGTCAACGTCGGCATCAGCCTCTCCCTCGTCTACCATGACAACAGCCAAGACGTCCACCGTAGTGTCGTTCATGTCGAACTCACCTCTGCGTGAGAACGCCCTGTCGGACATCTCTGACATGCTGAGGAACCTGACAGAAAGCCACACATCGAAGTCCTCCACACCAACCAGCCTGTCCGAGCGGTCGGACGTGGAAGGCGCGACTCCGGAGGAGCCAGAGGAGGTGAACCCAGCCCAAAAGCGCAAGGGCCGGCAGTCTAACTGGAATCCCCAGCACCTGCTGATTCTGCAAGCCCAGTTTGCAGCCAGCCTACGGCAGACATCTGACGGAAAATATGTCATGTCAGACCTCAGTCCCCAGGAGCGGATGCATATCTCTCGCTTCACGGGCCTCTCCATGACCACCATCAGCCACTGGTTGGCCAATGTCAAGTACCAGCTGAGGAGGACGGGCGGGACCAAGTTTTTGAAGAATCTGGACTCGGGCCACCCAGTGTTCTTCTGTAACGACTGCGCCTCTCAGATCCGGACTCCATCTACATACATCAGCCACCTGGAGTCGCACCTGGGCTTCCGGCTGAGAGACCTGGCCAAACTATCTGGCGAGCCGTTTGGCAGCCAGGTCGCGCACCATGCTCCGGGCTCAGCCGAGAAACTGTTCTCCACCCCTTCCCCTTCATCCTCACCCGACGAGGAAGGTAACGGCACCTCGTACCAGTGCAAGCTCTGCAACCGGACTTTTGCGAGCAAGCATGCCGTCAAGCTCCACCTCAGTAAGACCCATGGGAAGTCGCCGGAGGACCACCTCCTGTACGTGTGCGAGCTGGAGAAGCAGTAGCACTGCGAAATGCGCCTCACTGCTCTCTCTCATGCTCTAGTCTTTTTAACCTAAATTTTTAAAAAGAAGAAATAAGAAGTATTAAGAGGTGATAAACTGCACAATGATGCCATTAAGCTACTGTTTAGTTACGGCACACGGACATGAATTATCCGGCCCAAAAACATTTCTTCTTCTCCTTCTTTTTTTTTTAAGATTTATTTTTTAACTGTACAGTGTTTAATATAGAGGTGCTGCATAATCCACTGTTGTTACTGGTAAATATGAAGGTTTAAAAGAAAACCATTTAAAATGAAGTGCTACGTGTTTGGAATTTGTATAAATTGGATTTAGTTTTGTCGCATCCCCAGGATGGGCTGAGCTGCATGTATTAATGGACGATTTAGTTAAACGTTGAAATACCTAAAGCTGGTGCACTTTCTTTATCCCATTTTTTTTTTTTGTTAATGTGACCTAAGCGTGCTCCCGTCAGCGTCTAAACATTTAACCCTCTGAGTACGGCTATGTTCTTCTGCGTCGAGTTTCGAGGAAAACGTTCCAGATACAGATTGGCCACGCAATTGCGTATTCGAATAAAAAGGAGATATTATTCAACGGTAAATCATTGTACAGGAATCTGTTGCTATGGCATACAACTCAAAAGTGCAGTTTTTGTTTGCCATTAAATCAGGGGCCTTTAATAAATTCAGGTCTGTGTAAAATTGTATATATAAATATATAAATATATATATATATACCAGTCCCTGTCTAAATTATGCATCATTTTATATTTTTAATTTAAGATGACTATGTACTGGTGCACAATATATGAAGACATTAATTAAATTGTTTTGCACAATAGTTTTATAAATATGCTATTTAATCAAAATATATTAAAAAAAAGATATTTAAACAAAAAAACATTAAAAATATTTCCACCTCGTGCTCAAAGGGTTAACCCTCTAGTACACAAATGTACTGTATTTCTTGAAGGCAACAGAAAAGGCAGGTTTGTAAAGACGATGTTACTTTATGAAGTTCTGAGGCATTCCGCCATGTATTCACACACACTGTTGGTCAAAAAAAAAAAGCCTTTTTTTGTTCTAATTGCTCTTCCGTGGATTCTGCATCTTTAAACGATACGAGTAGTGACCGCTGGTCGCCAGCCCACTGATTGACGGATCCTCTACATATTCGGCGGCGAATTTGCAGAAGTAACTGACAGCTGACAGCATTTGTAATTATATACTGGCATGTAAACGGCGCAGACACTGTTATGAGCTCTGCACCCTGTTTTTATTTCGTTGTTGACATCGGAGCACCCATGATATGTCTTCATATAACCCTTTTTTTGTACTGCAGCATTAAAAATGTTTTTCTCCTTTTTTTTGCAAAACAATATGTCTGGCTCACGGTTGTGTCGGGCAGCGGGTATGGAGCCGTCCTCGTTGAGGGGTGGGGTTGGGGGGATGCCTTTGCTCATGGGAGTTTTACTTATACAAAAGTGTTCGGAGGGCAGAACGAAAAATGATTGGTTCAGACAGATAACCAGTCAGATCTTGGTCAGATGTCAGACTAACCAATCTGATGTCTTGGTCCCGCCTTCTCTAATTGCTTGCACCTGCCTCCTCTGCAATCTCATGGGTTATCCCTTTGAACCAATCATTTTTCATTCTGCTCTCACAACATTTTTATGTAAGGAAAACTCCCATGATTCATCAGACCTCTGTGCTTATAGGCCTGGGGTACGTTGGTCTTTGGCATTTTGAGCACACACCTATACCCGTGCACCGTTATGGGTTTGCACCTGCAGTACTGTAAGATGTAGATTGTGAGTCGTACTACGCTTCTGGTGTGTCACATTCCGAAAAAGATCGCCATGGAAACATGCTGGTTTGTTATGTCGACCCATTTAAATGGTCTCCGAGGACATCCAAAAATATATCATAATACTGGGTAATGTCCACCTGAGCAGCTTGTGATTAACACACACATTCACACAAGCATGCCTGCGAGACCCGGACTCCTGATACCTTCCGGAAGTTACGTTTCACAAAAACGAACCGTTTCGCACGCCTCATCGAAAATGACAGTGCAGCGGCGTCAACGAAAACCTGACTTTGAAGTTCGGCTTCCCGTCCTTCGAGGATTTCAATATTTTTCCAGTTAAGCAGAATATCCCAAGGGCCCCGATTTTATCCAAACAAAAAAAATCAGAGGGGGGAATGTTATGTTTATTTATTTTTGTATTTATGTGTCGTTTGAAGTCTTTCTTGTACTTAAAGGTGCTGAGAAGGTGGGACTTTGTTTACTTTTTACCCTGTCTGAACAATCGAGCCATTGCTGTCCCTGGAATCAGGACCGCTTAAGACTACACTCCGGAAAATCCCACGCCAGCCGATCTCATTTTCATGCCGCGTAACTCACAGGCCCTCAGCCTTGGAAGCGGCCCCATTACACACACTAATTTAAGGAGACCTGTAAATTTCTTCCCGAACTAACATGAAAAATACTAGTAAGGGTCTAAATCACAGGTGTGTCCCTGCGACCCATCCGGGGGGGGGGGCACAGCTTGTTAAGTGTCGCCCTGGGCCCGCCGTCAGTCACGTCGGCAAAGTGTACCAGAATAACACATGTGATAAATATGCAATTTCCTTAATTTATGGTGCCTCGGCGTGCTCAGGGCTACATGTGAGATGAAAATCTTAAATGGGGCTTGAACAGCACACTTCACAACAAGAAATCAATACGCCCCAGTAGCCGAGGGAGACGGCTCTTGGGGGCCCGGCTGTAATTTCCCTCCGAACAGACGCGGCGCTACACATCAGCCGCGCTAAACCGTTAGACACACAAACGGACATTTATCCGGGCGTACGTGAGACAGGAAGCTGGCGTGTGCGCTCTCTGGGTTTGCTCTCGTTTTTTTTTTTTTTTTTTTTTGTGGAGTATGGATTAAATGTCCTCGGTTTTCAGCGGTGCTCCCCGCCCCTGTCCCCCCCCCCCCGTTTAGTCTTTCATGTCTGTTTTGACTCCTCGGCGCATGAGATAGCATCGTGTTTGCCGGCGGCGGCCCACTTAACTGACAGCGAGTGAAATGTGGCACCGCCGCGGAGGAAGCCATTCGGCCAGCTCCTTCCTCGAGACGGTTGCAGGTTTGCCAGAGAGGTTGCCGAGACCGCAGCCTCGATTCTCACGCACACAGACGCGTGTCCGCCCTTAGACACAGCACACTGTATTTATAGAGGGTTCTGGTCTGTTGTAATCGGCCTTTGGAAGACGTTTCAACGCGAAAACCGGAATGATCTCGATGCTTTGTGATGGCCCTGGTGTTTGGGACCAAACAATCAGCCAGTCAGCTCTCTCAGTGGCACGAGAAGATCGTTAAGAGAGAGAGACCCACGGGAAGCTTTCTGACGATTACGGGTCAACCTCAACCGAACCGAGAGAAGATATGGCAAACAGGCATTTATGAGGTGTCGCCCGATTGGCTGGATAAATACAAAGGCTTAGTGATTCCTCTAACCCGGATTTCACAGACACTCCAGGTGAAGAAAGGTTTTAGACATAATGTTTGAGTAATCCCCATTTGCAGAGTAAATGGATTGCATTTATATAGAGCTTTTCTACTCCTACGAGCACTCAAATCACTTTACAACTCATGCCTCACATTCACCCATTCATATACAGATGGGTGCTATGCAAGGTGCCAACCTGCTCACCGGGAGCAATTTGGGGTTCAGTGTCTTGCTCAAGGACACTTCAATGGGGTCAGAAGGACCCGGGGCTTGAACCTGCAACCCTCCAGTTGGCAAACGATAGCACTACCTCCTGCAATACCATCAGTACATGAGGTTGTTCTTTGATCTTAATTACTGATTAATCAATCACTCAGAATTGCCCCCCAGAATTACCCCCTGCCTCCTGAAGAGCTCTGAGGCAGATGGAGGTGTTTTCTTTCATACCCCCGAATAGCTTCCGCCCTCCTGCTCCCCCTAGAGGAGGGACGCAGCACTAACTGTGTTGTGAAGCTCAGGACTGTCTTTCCATGGGATTTTCATGACTGCTCTGAATATCCGTTCTGACAGGTGGTCCCCCTGAGGGGATGGGGCAGCCTGACCGCTTTAGTATTCCACACCGTCCCCACTACAGCACCCACTCTTTCTCTGCCGGGCGGGGTGGGACCCCACCTCACGCCAGGGAGCTGGCCATCCCGCAGTTCTGCATAAAGGGACGCATGCTCCTCAACCTCTGATGAGGCTCCGTTCATGGGGAGCGAGAACTGTCACACGTGTACAGTATCCACGCATCTCCACATGCACAGCACACCGGGCACACTGTGGAACATCTACATATAGAAGGTGCTCATCACAACAGGGGAAGCGTTCAGATGCTAGATGTTCCACCCATCGCTTTTAGAACCGCTGATCCAGGCACAGGGCTGGGGTATAGCCCAGTCGGGATGCCCACAGATATTATGCATATACATACATACACATACATACACATGTGTATGTATATATATATATATATTCTATTTTTTTTTTTTCTTCAGGTTACAGGAAACTCAATGTCATTTCTCATCTTGTGCTGAAACAGCAGTTCTGCATGTATCATTTCATAGTGTCGACATCGTAAATGTCAAATATTTAACTCAAAGTATCTCCAGGCAACATATTACTGCATCCAATTACAACAACAGCTACATCAGGTATTAGCAAAGGAGATAGTCTTATAACAATATAAACAAATCATCTTAAATTCTGTAGCAAATTATTTTGATAAGATTCTCTCCATACAGTAAACAACATTTGACAGACTGCTGGAATTAGTGTAAATGCACTGTCCCAGCTCCAGATTTTTTCAGCCTGAAATGGTTGTGAGGGTGACTTTTGCGCACAGGGATAAACGAAAGTCTGCCTTTCTGCAGAATAACAAAAAATATTATTGGGGTAGAAATTCAGCCCCCTGATATCTTGATGTTTTCCCTATGTATTTTCCTCTCAGAGAGAGCGAGAGAGAGAGAGATCACCCCACACCTGACCGTCGGGTCACAGGTACCGGTGCCCACGCTGTACTGTCCCATTTCTGAAGGTCGGCGATCTGTGCATTTATGCAGCTGCGTAGGGGAAGAGCGATGGTATGGATCTCGGCCGCGTCCATGTAATGTACACGTCATGCTCAATGGGCCGATGGATCATGATGACGTTTCCTGGTCCACCTCCCCACGCAGGACATTAGGCGAAATGACGGGATCACCCTGGAGAAGCTCCATCAGCCGTATTTTCATTCTCTGTAATTTTCCTATATTCCATCATGCTCTCCTTTGAGACACACACACATATATATATATGCACACACACCAGCAAGAGTGAACTTATGAACTGAAAGCAGGGTAAGGCTGTTTATCCTGTGACCCTTGGAGGATTTTGCGGGGGGGGCAGTGGGGTATAAGGACTTTGCTCATGAGCCCCATAGGGATGTAACTATTCTACCCAGGACAGGATCATCAGGAACGCTGACTTTCTGATCATAGCCGCACAGGCCTGAGCCCCTGAGCCAACCCCCCCCCCCCGTAGAGCCTGGATTTTGGGTCTGTCGCATGCAGTCCCCAGACCCGGATTCCTGAGGAGACACAGCGACTCGTAAGCCTGCGAGCGGCCGCACGTCCGACTCTGCCCTTAAAACTCATTATCATGGCTAAATTACTGTCCAGCCACAAGCAGATTTAATTAACACACATGTCCAGACCACGTCTGGCCGTGCGAATAGATTACAGTGTCTGGCCAGATCCTGCCGGTGGTTTATGGAGCAAAGGAAATTCAGGGGTTTTAACGGTATGTGCAGAACGATGAAGAGGCGTTTATCTGCCGTGGTCATATGCTGCATTACTGCATCGCTTCGCATCGTCATTCCTCTTACGTCATCTTCCTGTCCATCATGGCGTTCTAACTAAATAAGCGCGTAGACTAAATGAAAACCTTTATGCTGCTTTTGGGGTGAATAGCTGGAGGGGAACGGTCCCCCTCTGGCCAGGTGGCACAGGCAAGGCTGGCGCAGGATGTTTGGCTCGCAGGTGGAATCGGAGGGAGCCCCCAGCACACCAGGGGTTAATGGAGGGCCGTAGGAGAGCCCCGCATTAATTGACTCATGTTCGGACGAGTGTTCTCATGCATTAAGGAGAGCTGATAGCAGTTAATTGCCACAGACGCAAATAGGTAAAGAAAAAAATTAAAATCCCAGGGAAAAAAAGAGACACTGAGGTCATTTAAATGCTGTATTCTGTAAGAATGGGCTTGGGGGGGGGGAGGGCGCAGTTGCCATAGGTGTTTTGGGCAGAGTCCTAAAGCTGTGGCTGTGTTTTCTTCATCCCCTGCCTGACATGCC